TCTTAAAGCTTAGGGCTTAAATCATCTATTGTAGACTGGGACTTACCCCTGGTCCACAATCTTGCTTTAAGTAAGTTGTAAGCCTTAAGCCGTAAGAAATTAACCAATCACAGGTGAGAGTGAGGGGAATAAATGCCTGCGATTGGTTAATTTCTTACGGCTTAAGGCTTACAACTTACTTAAAGCAAGATTGTGGACCAGGGGTTAGTCCCAGTCTACAATAGATGATTTAAGCCCTAAGCTTTAAGAAATTGGCCAATCACGGTCAAGTATGAGAAGAATGCGCGACTGTGATTAGTCAATTTCTTAAGGCTTAGGGCTTAAATCTCTATTGTAGACTGGGACTTAGGCATCGGATACAGCAGTTTTTGCAGTAATTCATTCTTTTAGCCCGACTGCGCAGTCGACTGCACCGCAGATTTCCGTCAGCCGGCAAATCCGATGCGCAGCGGTTGCCAAATCCGATGCCTAAAAGAACGCACCCGTCGTGCGCGGAAGCGCAGACATTTCCGCATTGGTGAGCGACTTCCGATTAGCTACCGCCGCTGCCGCTGCGCGTTCTCCCCCACTCCTCTACCAATAGGACTACGCGCCATACTTCCGTGGCTTCGTGGACGCGCTACGCTGCTAGCTTCGCACAGTGGCGAATCGAAGGGAAAAAATACGTACTCTCTGCCCGTTAACCTGCGATGTCGAGTTGATTTTTAACTTTGACTTTAACCCGCCTCACGCTCGCAGCTCCATTTTTTTTAACGGACCGGAGCGCTAAATATGGCCAGCAAAGTATGGCATACAGAATTGTGGAAGTCATGGGATAAGCATGGGAAAAACGATTTGTAAGTGGTGTTGTTAGCGCGTCGCCTGGTCGACGCGATCGACACGGTGCATTGCTGGTCGCGAAAACACTTATCTACTCCCGTTAACTCGCTCTACCGAAGACTTAATTTTGTCAATTCACGACTGTTTGCAGCCTCAAGCTTATCAAGCACAAATTTAAGGAAGGCAACACACCAGGTAATGGAAGACCCCGAATACGAGCTCTCTTTCTCTCTCTCTCTCTCTCTACCCCCTCTTCTCTTCTATTTCCTTCTCTTTCTGACCGCGTTCACTGCCAACATGCCCGATCCGTATCATTGTCGTTCTCCGCGAATGTAGCCACCCGCGTAATCCACGGTTCCTTAGCACACGCGTACATCACGGAATGCTCGCTTACGCGTGCGATCTCGCAATAATGGCACGATTATCAATTTCTTAGTCATTTTTATTCACGTACCGTACACACTCGGTTGGAATTGATGAAAATATCTGCGATCCCGACCCGCGTTCCGATTTGTCCTGCAATTTCTCTCGGTCTCGTTTCTCTTGTGTTCACTTTGTTACGTTGCACCTTGTCGTCTGAGGCTGCGTCTCGATATTCGCTGCCAGTACTGAAAATGTATGGTTCGCGTCGCGTGTACAGTTTCAGTACTGGCAGTGAATATCGGAGCGTAGTCTAAATCATAAGCGCATGCTGTGTATGTGTGTACGATAACTCTGGCACATTGGAGTAACGTTGTAACACTGGTATATTCCCCGTTTGTTTTTCTCGCGTGAAATTTGCAACAAGGACAGAAATTGATAAGACCTCAAGCCTTTACGCTGCGCTCCGTACTTTTCTCCCACATACATGCGCGCTACTTCATACTCAGATTATGCAAGCCTGTACAGGTGTTTTTGATGTTGTATGTCATGATGAACGAGCTCTGTGGTTTTTCTTATAGAATGGAGACGCGGATTATACGAATTAATATCAAATGGAATCCATGGAAACGTAAAAAAGGACAGTGTAGTTCAGACACTAGGTGAACTTATGGTACGACACAATTCTTGAGCTTTGCGCGCAGCTGCGATTGAAGGGTGAATTGCAATGTTATAATAACGTGCGTAATTTGATTGTAGAGTTTCGATGGCTCCATACCATCTGCAATAGTAGACATAATTACTTTAATTGATGCGGAGGTGCACAATGAAGAAAGGAACAACTTTTACTGTATCGTGAAAGAGTCTGAGAAGGTATACATTCACTTATACACATAAAAATCTATATTGTGTCTCATTTTTTTAATATTATCAAATTATTGGAAGGAATGCTTTTAAAATAGTCAAATTTACTGTTGATTGTTGAGAGTACATTCACTTTTACATAGAAACCCATATTGTGTTTCATTAAAAAAATTTTACGAAATTATCGAAAGGGAGGAATATTAAAAAAGCGAAAAGACATACTTTTAAAATAGTCAGAACTACCGTCTCTTGTTTTAATTAATTGAGAGTACATTCACGTAAAAACTTATACTGTGTCTCATTTTTAAAATGTTACAAAATTATTGAAACGGAGGAATATTAAGTAAGAATATTAGAAAAGACATTAAAAACAGTCAGAATCACTTTCTTATTTATCTTAATTGAGAGTGGATCGAGTTCTAACACGTTTACCCTAATTTCTCATTTATTCCCACAGTTTTTGCCCGATAGACTGTTGAAAGAACGTTTAGAGATTGAAACTTTGCAAGATGTAGGGACGTTGAAAAACAAAAACTTTCAAACCAAGTTTATAAAAGTAAAAACCAAGTTGTAGTGAGTATTTCCCTATTGAACTTGCATGAAGCTTATTCGTGGTGTCAACGAGTTTCTTATGGCCCCTACGCCTTCTTTGCAGTTATAAGCAGAGGAAATTTAATTTATTTCGTGAAGAGAGCGAGGGTTACTCCAAGCTCGTTGTAGAATTGAATCAGGAGCGTCCAGACAGTGAGGTGGCGTCGACCCTGGAAATTGTTAAATCCCTTATCGGTACGAATATCCATAATTTTACCGCGAGTAGAAATGTTGTTCTTTTCAGAGGACTGTACGGTTGCAAGAATCGTTGCGTATAAAAGCAAACATGAACTCGCAAATATCGTAAGTCGATGGAAAGTGACGGAGGTACAAGCTGGTGTTATCCTTTACAGGTTATTTCAATCTTGATCCTAATAGAGTACTCGACATCTTACTAGAAACTTTTGAAAATCGACCGCAAGACGACGCTCTATTTATTCCCTTAATACGTTCGTACATGAGCGATCAGCAGGTACTTTGTGAGGTGTTAGGATTCAAGTACTGCTCCACCATCAACACCACGCCGTTCTCGCTGCAGAAGGTCACCGCGCTCATGCTGCAGCACGGTGTGATCAAACTGGACGACATATTACCTTGGCTAGTGCCAGACGATAAAACTATCATATCAGATCATGAGCAGGTAATGAAGCAGGCCAAGGAATACGTGCGGAAATTGAGCGTGATCTCGACGAAGGACAAAGAGGAAGTTGTAGAAGAGAAGGAAAATGCACAGGTAACAAGCAAAACCAAATTTTACAAATTATATTGAATTTAGCTAATCGTCATTTCATAAAAAATTTATGTTGAAAGGATGGATCTTGATTCAAAGCAATGCAGTGATTTGTAAATTAATTCTTAATTAAATTTTTGAAATTATGCGCAAAGAATGATCGTCGAGGTTGTACATAAAGATGTTGGTCTGTTTAGTAATTATATTATGTGATCGATAGTTTATATTCTAATTTCTTCTCTCGTGCTTCTAAAAGGACAAGTACGCGAGCAATCAAAAGTTTGGATTATGTGAAGCGCTTCTGGAAATTGGAGCTTGGGAAGTGGCACAAAGTTTATTCAATCGCTTACCGGACTACTGTTTTACGGATCAACGCCCCATAGCTCTAGCATTGTGCAAAATGATTCAGTCTCTTATCGAACTGGTGTACAGAAAGTAAGTTGTCAATATCCATTGTTCAATTTAAGAAGATAAGTCGTGGAATTACATCTATATTTCAGCGCTAAACATCTAGCTTGGTTCGACGGCCCATTGTATAAAATATTTTCTATTTTTACGAACTTCGACTCTCATATAATTATTTCACGCAGCAAAAACACGCGTTTCTCTATTCCTTTTCTCATATTGTTTTAGCCTTGTGTCCACGATCCACGAACTGTGTTTTCAAGTTCCAGTTCCGAAAAATGTGTAGTCTTTTACGGAAAAGTTGCAAGTTGATTAGCTACACATTTCTCGTAACTGGAACTTGGACACAGATCCTGGATCGTGGACACCAAGGCTTTAGAATAATTTGATTCTTTATGTATTCACGATATTATAAGCACTGAAATATAGCATAAAGAATTATTTTACGCCAGTACATGATTAACCAATGTAGAAAAATTGCTAAACGACGCAACCGGCAAATTCTAATTCTCCTAGAGACGCCCGCCTAGAGTGTAACGAAGTCCAGGTTCAAACCCTAGCTGAGGTAATATTTTTCGCAATAAATGTCTAATTAGAATTTGCCAGTTGCGTCGTTTAGCAATTTTTCTACATTGACTAATATATAGCTTGGTTTAACAGCCCATTGTACACAATATAGTATACGTTTATGTTATTGAACAAAAAGTACATGTGCCATAAATTATCGATAATTATTGTATTACAATCTTGATAAGTTATTTCGTAAGTTTTTAAAATCACTCCGTTTCAGGCATTGTATTGTCTCCCCCAAATTACCGGGTCGTAAAGTGCCTCCGTTAAAGAGTACCCTCGCGCCGCCGTCGTTACGCGATCTGGAGGACATTCATAACTACTTGCTGCCAATGCTGATCGTACTTGGTCCGAATCTACACCAGGATCCTATTCTAATGTACAAAGTGATGAGACTGTGTTACGCCGCTATCAAGCACTGTCCGCTTGACGCGAGCAAGCAACCATTGAACAAGAACTGCAGCCTCTACTACGATGTACTGACGATACTCGACGTCGCGCTGCTACCATCCCTGTCCTTCATGGACTGCAACTGTTGTGTCGCCGAGGAGCTATGGAACATCCTCAAGTACTATCCCTATCAGAATCGCTATTGCCTGTATGCGCGCTGGAAGAATGACACGCCGTTACAGCATGCCGCATTGCTGCGGAAACGTGCGGATGCTCAAAAGAAGATCAAGTCAATCATGAAGCGCGTGAGCAAGGAAACGATCAAGCCGGTTGGCCGTTCAATAGGCAAGCTTACGCATTCCTCACCGGGTGTATTATTCGATTATGTCCTAATACAGATCCAGTTGTATGACAACCTGATAGGTACGTATCAAATGTGCGCCTTCCACCTTCGTAACAGTCTTCGCAAGACAAGGTTGTAACATGTTCGTCGTACCGGATGCAGGACCTGTGGTGGACTCCTTAAAATACTTGACAAACATCTCGTACGATGTGTTGGGGTATTGTCTCGTGGAGGCATTGGCAGGTGCCGACAGAGACAGATTTAAACACGATGGTACCAGTATATCCTTGTGGCTGCAATCTCTGGCTTCTTTTTGCGGGGCGATATTTAAGAAGTATAACATCGAATTAACAGGGTTGCTACAGTATGTAGCAAATCAACTTAAAGCTCAAAAGAGGTACGTTTTTCTAAACATAGATAAACATGATATTGCAGTAAATCCTACTATTTAATTGAGTCGCTGCTTTAATGAATCGCTCTGCTTCCAGCCTAGATCTATTAATATTAAAAGAAATAGTACAAAAAATGGCTGGTATCGAGGCGGCCGAAGAAATGACGTCTGATCAACTGGATGCTATGGCAGGCGGAGATCTGTTGAAAAACGAGGTAAATGTGGCGATCGCATGAGTATGTAATGTCATAATGTACCTCTCTGTAACTCTGACGCAGAGAAATTAATATAAAAACTGTTCCTCTCAAGGCCGGTTACTTTAGTCAAGTCCGCAACACGAAGAAGTCCTCGCAGCGTTTAAAGGAAGCTCTCTCCGAGCACAGTCTCGCGGTTGCTCTGTGCTTATTAATGGCACAGCAGAAACACTGCGTCGTTTATAGAGAGACAGATAAATCTCATTTGAAACTCGTCGGTAAATAGAATTACATGTAAAGTCCAGAGTTTTTCTCCATAGATACTACATTTTGATCTTCATATAACAGGCAAGTTGTACGATCAGTGCCAGGATACGTTGGTGCAATTCGGGACTTTCCTGGGCTCGACCATGACGGTGGACGAATATGTGGACCGATTACCCTCGATCCATTCTATGCTCCAGGACAATCACATCCACGCGGATGTTGCATTCTTTCTGGCGCGGCCAATGTTTGCGCATGCCATAAATGTAACATTACAAACATTTTACGTCGGCTCTTACTGCCTTCCTTTTTCTTTCTATTTTACTTGATAATAATGTCAATTTAAACAAATCATATATCCAGTTTATTTAAAAGATATCTAAACATTGCTTATAATTTTTTATTACAAGATTTATTATATATTACTGTTATGAGTTTTAAATTGATTTTCTTTTAAAGATAAAATATGATGCTCTTCGTAAAGCTGATCCGAATTATAAGAAAATGTCCACGGCTATGAAGCAATTAAAGTACGCGGAAGCCGCGCAAGCCGTCATGGCACCTGTCGCTCAGTCCGTCAGGCCATTGCATCCTCTAAAAGTTTGGGAGGACATATCGCCGCAATTCTTAGTCACATTTTGGTCTCTATCGATGTACGATTTGTACGTGCCAGTGGAAAGCTATCAAAGGGAAATCAGCAAGTTGAAGCAACTTGCAGCGCAAACCGCCGATTCCAAAGACCTGGTACGCGAATGTTATACATTAGTCATTACTGATTACATCTCTTTGTGACCGACAAATAAATGTATTTCAAACGCTCTTTCCTGATTTAAACTGGGAGTAATGTTGATTTTTAGAATGTAAGTAAAGGAAAGAAAGAACAAGAAAGATATACCACTCTTATCGAGAAGCTACAGGACGAAAAGAAGAAGCAAGACGAACATGTTGAAAAAGTTTTTGCGTACCTGAGGTAAAATGTCGTGATCATTTTTCAATACATATAAATGTAATGTGATTGTCGTGATAATGTAGCGATCTAATACTTCGATAATAACAATCATACGTTTGCAACTGACCTGCAGACAAGAAAAGGATACATGGTTTTTGTCACGAAGCGCTAAGTCTGCGAAAAACGAGACGATAACGCAATTTCTACAGTTGTGCCTATTCCCGCGATGTACATTCACAACTGTGGACGCCATGTACTGTGCGAAATTTGTACATACCATCCACTCTCTGAAGACTGCAAATTTTTCAACTCTTCTTTGCTACGATCGTGTAAGGCAGTTTTCTCTAATATTCATTCATGTGTGATTATAGTACTATAACGATAAATTGTCACATTTGTTCGTTACAAAACTATTTTTGTTTGCTCACGTTATTGCATAAGATAAATTTGTAATTTACACACTAATACAACTGTTTTCTATGATAAAATTATTCTGCTTTCAGCTTTTCTGTGATATTACATATTCAGTCACTTCGTGCACAGAGAACGAAGCAAATCGATATGGCAGATTTTTATGCGCCATGCTGGAAACTGTGATGCGATGGCATTCCGAGAAAGCCATATTTGATAAGGTAAGTGCAGTAACGATACATTTTTCAAAATTTTCAGAAAAGAACGGAAAGATGCGTTTATGCTATTAAATATTAGTTCTGTTGTACTCTTATTTAACAATCTGAATATTTATTAATAAATATCTTTTGCGTATAGGAATGCAGTAATTATCCCGGTTTCGTGACCAAGTTCCGTGTGAGCAATCAATTTTCCGAAGCGAATGACATGGTCGGATTTGAAAATTATAGACACGTGTGTCACAAATGGCACTATAAGATCACAAAGGTATATGCGCGATATAAACATATATACAATGTGCTATATGTGCATATTGTAATTTAAATATGAAAATGCTATTTTAAAGCTGAGACTGAACAGATTTATGATTCAATTAATATTTTCTTTGACAGGCTATTGTGGTGTGTCTAGATTCTAAGGATTATGTGCAAATAAGGAATTCTTTGATAATATTGATAAAGATATTGCCACATTTTCCTGTCTTGGCAAAACTCTCTCAGATCCTTGAACGTAAGGTGGAGAAGGTGAGGGAAGAAGAGCGTGGTCAGCGTCAGGACTTGCACGTTTTGGCCACATCATACAGCGGACAGTTAAAAGCTAAAACTCCCAGTATGATACGCGAATCAGACTTCCACTATGTGGGCGATAAGGTAATGAAAAGATTATTCTTGTGGAATCAATATATAAATTCATAAAGAGAAAGAATTACATCTCAAAAGTGTTTTGAGAAAGTTACTTATTTTATTATACCTATATGTACAGGCTGGTAAGACACAACAAGATACAACGAGTAGTGAAACGAGTGAAAAAGTTAGTAATGGAGTAGCAGTGAAGGAAAATAACAACGGAGACGCTCGGCCGGAAAAGGAAAACAAGGAGCAGCGAGAAAAGCGAAGTTCCTCTAATCAAACGCATCAGTAAGTAATATATTTAGAGAAATGTATATACAGTTATTTTATTGAAATTTGTACCTTTTTATTCTTTGACATATTTTATGTAGAAAATTATACGAAAATTTAATAAAAGACATGTGTAGGTATAATGAATAAAAACAGAATAAAATTTCACAATTTCTGAATTATGGGAAGAAATAATACGTTAAGTGTGAAAATCTCATAACGATATCAATTCTTTGAATAGCGAAAACTCTGAGAAGTTTAGAAAGAAGGAAGACAGTAAGGATGTTTTGGAAGCAAAAGAGAAATACGTGAAAAAAGAAGAGGTGAAAGACGATGAGGGATTAGATAAAAAGGATCGCAAATATTATAAGGTAATTTTGCTATGTTAAAATAATTTTACATGGAGTGTTTTGAAACGAAAAAAGAAATTAGAATTTAATGTACCATTGGAATAAAAGAATTTCAGTAAAAGTATAGTCATAAATGTTTTCTTATAAAGTTAATATTAATATTAAAAAGCTTTGTGTATCATGCTTTTGTAAATAAAATATTGTAATTTAAATCTATTATTACAAATGAACTCATTATATAACTTATATATTATTATATAACTCATCTTATTATTAATATTCAAAATTTTCTTCCAATTTTGATATAATTAATTTTCTATACACATATATGAAAGTGCAAATTTTATATTTTTAGGAAGAGCACTATTATAGCGGTGGTGTAGACAATTTAGACCGAGACCTTTCCAGTGTGTCAAATAGTAGTGCTAGTTCGGGTCCTACACCAGAAGGTCCTGAGAGAGGTATTATAATTTAACGATTAAACATTAAATTATGTATTAGATTAATTGTATATATGTATGTATATATGTATACACGTGCGTGCACGCACACTGAGAGGGAGGGAGGGGAAAGAGCTATGGCGCGCGCGCGTATGTGTTCTAGAAATAATGTCACATCATGTATTTCATTATAAATATTTAAAAAATGTTCTTTATTGCTGTATATTTTAATACAAATTTTTACTCAGTTCCAGATGTAAAAAGAAGAAAAGTAGAGAGCGCTCCAAAGGTAATTATATTATACATTATATGTATTATTTTCACGTTTTCTCTTTGCACAAATATTTTTGTATTCAGCAGGAAGGAAGACGCACGGAGGCTGTTCTCGATAAGAAAGAACGTTCCAGTAAAGGGAAAGCACGCGACGAACAGAAAGAGTTGCGTAGGGAAAAGAAACAGGGACGGAAAAGGGTAATTTAATATTTCTATCATTCGATTATCGTATACGATTCTTCTACATATCACATGATATGGAGAACATATGTATTCTTAAATATCCAATTGACGTAGGATCGAGCAGAGGAATCCATAGCAACCACTGAACAAAAACGAAGAAAAGATGACGAGAGAGGTTTGTGTGATTATACATATATATTTTTGCTATTATTATACAAAATATTGATTCATATATCAATGAATATTTATAATAAATATATGCATATTGAAATATATCGCATTATATCGCATTATATTTGTTATAGCCAAAGGCACACATCAAAACGGTGACATTCCTGAACATAGAGAAAAGCATCATTACAGTAAGGTCAGTAACATCAATTTAGCACTTTTTATGATGATATTATTAAACGGTTCAACTTCTATTCAAAACGTACTCGACTGTTTCTTTCCTCTTGAATTCTTTGATTTTTGTTTCGTTAATTTTCGTTTACATTTTGATTATTTCTACTTTTCTCTGCTTACTTGTTTCTTATTGAAATTTGTTGTAATTTACATTAGGCGGAAGAATATCTAGAATAATTCAATATTTTATCTTGATTTTCAGCTTTTGTTATTCTAAAATATATTACAATTTTTATTATTTTATTATTGCATACTGTTCTGCATTCGTACATTGTTTTAACATTCACATATTCGCTAACATTTTGGGATATTTAGTGTAGGACAAGTTCTTAGCTAGAAGAAATACAACATAATTTGTTAACAATACGAAAATGTTAAACAAGAAAATATTAATGCATTTGTGAAAGTTTTACAAATTCGTAGAAAAAGATATAAAATACATTAGCTCTACGTCTTATGACACATGTATATTTTCGATTTTTTATAGTATACTTCGATGAGATTTATTACACATCGTATATCATGAGATTTCTAACATATAAATTGCAATTATTTTTATAGCGCTGTGTAACTAGCCGACTTGTTTTATGAAAACTTAATCAAGTTATTATTTTCTTAACAATTTTCTATTACTTCATAGTTGATAAAGATGTCTACTTCGGGTACGTTAAAAGGACGAAATGGGCGGCAATAGCAAAAACAAGAAAGTATAGATGTCAATTACCCTCCTCTTCCCCCTCCAATATCAGTCGCAAGAAATCATGGCATTCGGGAGACTTATTCAAGAATGTATTTTCAGGAAAAATCTCCATACGCAAAGGATCGTCCGCATGAACGTGAGGGCCGAGAAAGCCGTGACAAACAATATCCTTTTCTATAGCTTTAACAGATTCAAAAGCACAAGTATTTTTTATTTTTTTTTACAACTAATTGATTTGATACAATAATATTATGAAATTCGTGATACGTTAATATGTTAAACTTTGTAATTAATTAAGTGTTAAAATAGATTATGTACTACACCCATAGAGTGAATCGTGCAATTATTGAGTTAATTTTTAATGAGGTTTCTTGCTTTAATTAAGAAATCTTTTTAACTTCTAATCTTTTAATACTTTAGCAGTGTAAAGCTTGTGTTTATTAACGGCATTTTGGTTTTAATTAAAAGCGAAATAATTTAACACTTAATTACATCAGCTAAATGTAATTATTCGAGTGTTTACTCTGTTTATGATATTTGTAATACGTTTCAAACTTTTCAAGACAAAATATATTCTGCCTTTGTAATTACAATTATCACCGTCCTTTTTTTTTTAAAAGAGAAAATCCTTAACTACTCAATAACTGTATGATTTATCCTATGCACGAGAAGGCACAAGTGCTCGGTATAATCCTTAACTCCAGTGCACCAGAAGGAGTTCAGACCCGAAACGGAGATGATGTACAACAACGGAAAGGAGCTCGACTTAACATTTTCTATGCTATGTTTGATGTTACATGTAATAAACGTAGAATTCAAAATAAAGCAAAAAGATAGATCGGTAATTTGTATATTATATGTTTTAACATCCAATTTTATAAAATAAATTATCTAAATGTCCGATACTTTTTGATATATGTTCATTCAATTCAGTCTTTTCTTCCATAGGCGAAGAATAATAAATCCCTCGCAAGTGATATGCGTGAAATGTAATTTGCAGGGTTGATAATTGTGCGTGCAGTAATGATAATAAATTAATAAACGATAATGTCTTGGCATTTCTTATTCGCTACGAAGAGGTGCTAACGAAGCTGCAAAAATACTGATCTGCCTTGGAGCTCTCTTCCTCTAGGCGCTTTAGCCGCATCTTGGCGTCCTGAAGAATATCCTCCGTAGAACTACTCTCACTGACGATCGTGTTCGCACCGACAATACGAGCCACGGAAATCGGCATCTCGATCGGCTGCAATAAACGCACTTCTTCTAATTGGCATGATAGCTGAGCGCTGCGCTGCGTGATCTGTTCTATCTTCGACCGTTGCTTCTCCACGAGATTCGTCAGCTCCAGCTTCTGCCTATGCAGAAGCCTGCACTCGTCCATTACCGTGCGGTTCTCCGCATCGGTTTGCACGTGAATGTCCCGGAGGTTGTTCTGAGCACACTGGTTCGCCGTGCCTTGCGACATTTCCTTCTGCATTTTAACGAGCTCTCGTTGCAGCTTTTTCAAACCACCCTCAAACTTCCTGTAGCTGTCTCGTTCTCTCTGCAATCTGCCGAAATTTACTTCAGGTAACAATTTAAAATATGAACAGATATAGGCAGGAAAAAAATAAGAAAAACAGAATTATACACAGATGTCAATTATTAATTGTTATTACTGTTTAATTGCCTTTGTAAAATTACAGAGACGATATGTTTTCATCAAGTACCTGTTAGCTTCTTGTGTCAAGAAATTTTGTTTCATAGACAGTTCCATTTCCTTCCGCAAGAGACATTGCGTATTGCTGTCTTTCTTTTCCTTCAGTTGCTTTTCTTTCAGGGTCAAAGACTGCATTAAATTCTAAGTGCATAACGGAAAATAAAAATACATGAGATCATTTCCTATCAGACTCGATCGTTTTCTGATGAAAAACTGATATACGCTGGTCTTCAATAACGAAGAAAAATCTTCTATCACAAAAAATTGCTCATTCATTAACCGATTACCAAATAATGAATAAGGTAAGAATTGCATATCTTTGTTATAAATACATACATGGTTGAAGGCATTACCTGTGCTTCTTCCACTTTTGCATTTAATGAATTGAGCTGATGCTTTATAACTGCGGCTTGCTGCTTCAACCTGCTCTCCTTCATCTTCAGTTCGTCATCATACAGTTGCTTCTGCTGCACAATCCTCTTCTTCATCGCCCGTACTTTTGTTGCGTCCGCGAGATTCGCCTCCGACACCAAGTTAGCCTGCGTCTCTCTGTCATACATGGGCCTTCTAGTTGACGACTGAGCGTTGACAAGAAGCGAGGCTATTGAGCTCAGAATGGACAGCAACAGCGGCGCCTCGCCGTTCACGTAATTTGATACAATGTACTCGCCCTCGGGCCCATTGGGATCAATGCCTAGAGTTGCCAGAGTGTGCGCTATGTAATCGCTCTGCAGCTTATTGCTATGCCTGCTACCACAGTCTCTGTCGGCGTCATCAACGGTGCCCTGCTGCGGCGTGCTGTTACAAAAGTTCACCAAAAGCGGTACCTCGCTGGCGAATACCGACAGGGTGAAGGAGTAATTGTGACCGAACAGATACTCGGCTATCAACATATCGTAAACGTACTGCTTCGCCGACCTCGCCTCCCTGCTCTTGCAGAGCCTGAGATCCTTGCGCTTCAAAGCGTTCACCAAGTTCTGCCGCAGGTGCGTCCTGATATTAGACACGATCCCACACTTCTCGAACCTGCGAAGGTACAGTGGAAGGTACAGGCCTTATTGATGGCAGCAAATCGTACGGTCGTCTACATCGCGCGTCAGGTGCGCGGGTTGCGACTCATAAATCATGACAGTGAAGTGTATCGCGAGAAAATCTTGTTGAACGTTTGACAGCACGTAGCGTCAACGTTATTTCGGAAAACCGGGAGCACATAACCTTGGCCAAAATTTTCGTCCCGCCGGAAAAATTAGACGCGATATTACGCGGGACTGTTCACATACTTACCACGTGTACACGGTGGAATAATAATCGCTGTCCATGACGAATTTCAACGCGGCTGTAACACAAAAAGGTAAACATAAACGTACAGGACGCTCAAAATTCCCCGATACAACTCCCGCCACCGACCGATGGTAAGCGAGCGCGAAGAGATGGCGCTGTTATCTGCGATACGAATATGGACTATCAAATAGCTGCTAATTATTTCTAATGGCCGTGTATATCTTTTTTTATTTTTATTTTTTTTAATGAAGAAAAGTGAACTGCAAATGACGATTTATCCGTGTTCAAATATCGCGTTCTCATGCCCAATTATCACGGGATTATATCGCTCTTAATTTATGCAGGGATTTCCATTCGTTTTTGCAATTACCCAGATAGCCAGTATCCCAGGTAGAACACAAAATCATAATAATATCATAATGACATCAAGTAGAACTCATTTTTTTGATTTAGGAAAAATCATGATGATGTCATTCGATACACTTTTTAGGAGCATTTTGTGAGCAGAAAAGTCATAATGATATCATTAGGATGTCATCATGACATTTGTTTCTTAAAAGTTACTAATAAACAATATTTTACTTCAACAACATGTATATTAAAACGATATAAATATTTTAAAAACCAAAGGACGCTGTTATCTATAATATAGTGTACGATTCCTTTTTCATTTTTACATCATTTTTGAATCATTTTTTTATTAGTGACTTTTAAGTGACAAATAATGTCATGATGACATCCTAATGATATCATTATGACTTTTCTGTTCTACCTGGGTATATGCTCGAGCAAAGTATATGGAATTACAATGCCAGCACCTGATGCTAGCTTTTCGCTAGGAATACGAAGTCAATGTTTGAGTGATTTAAATACAGCTAGCATAATGTTAAACATATTGTCGTAATTAAGTGCACAGCTAAGGAGAGAACACATCGAATAGGTATGCCCAGTGAGAAATGATTCGTCGATCGACGTCGGATCGACATCGACACCGTCGAATTGACATCATTTCGACGTCGATCGACGAATCATTTCTCACTGGGTGCTGCCCATACAGCACCAAAGCTTTCAGAAACATTGGCTACGTTCGGCAGAAAAAGCTGCTTTGCAACTGTTGTAAAATTCATGAATCTGATTGGCGTATGCTCTAAAATTCACACAAGATTGAGAGAACACACCAATCAGATTCACGAATTTTACAACAGTTGCAAAGCAGCTTTTCCTGCCGAACGCAGCCATTGCAACATTGCAACAATGGCTGCGTTCAGCAGAAAAAGCTGCTTTGCAACTGCTGTAACATTCGTGAATCTGATTGGCGTATTCTCTTAGTCTTGAGTAAATATAAGAGCATATGCCAATCAGATCCATGAATTTTACAACAGCTGCAAAGCAGCTTTTTCTGCCGAACGTAGCCAATGTATTCTGAAATGTTTCTGAAAGCTTTAGTGCTATATGGGTGTTAACAAAAAGTTAGCATACACCCGGCGGAAAAAGCCACATATATCCAATCCCAGGTAGAACACAAAATCATAATAATATCATAATGACATCAAGTAGAACTCATTTTTTTGATTTAGGAAAAATCATGATGATGTCATTCGATACACTTTTTAGGAGCATTTTGTGAGCAGAAAAGTCATAATGATATCATTAGGATGTCATCATGACATTTGTTTCTTAAAAGTTACTAATAAACAATATTTTACTTCAACAACATGTATATTAAAACGATATAAATATTTTAAAAACCAAAGGACGCTTTTATCTATAATATAGTGTACGATTCCTTTTTCATTTTTACATCATTTTTGCATCATTTTTTTATTAGTGACTTTTAAGTGACAAATAATGTCATGATGACATCCTAATGATATCATTATGACTTTTCTGTTCTACCTGGGATTTTATCTAATTGTATCAAATAATATCAGATATGATAAAATTTGATTACTTAGATTATCTCCTTTTAATGCATCCGTTTATAAGCATATCAAATCAAATGTGGCCAGATATAGTCGGATAAAACGGTATTAAACATCTGACTTTTGATTTGATATGCTTATAAATGGATGGATTAAAATTTGGATATAATCTGATCAAATTTTATCGTATCTGACATTATTTGATCACAATTAGATAAAATTGGTGTAGCGATAACAAGTCTTTATTTATCATCTGAAGATGTATCGTCTGCAGGTGATGGGGAACCATCAGATTTTATGTCATATTCTTCCCAAATGTCATTGTGAAAAACATCGGTTGGAGACGAGCATATGATTCTGAAGAGAAACTCTCAACTTTTACAGATTCTTCCAAAATTGTGGAGTGTGTGGAAGTAATTGGAGGTGGAGATGACGGTGTAGGCAAATTCTCCACCTGTATAGATGCTTCCAAAATATTGTTATGCTTAGAAGCAATCTAGGAGGTGAAGCTGAGTGTGAAGGCAGAGCCCCAACTTTTATAGATTCTTCTGGCATGACTTGATCTTCGTTAATGCTTTTCTATTCTGAATCTGAAGATTCGCTGCAGATTTCCTCGCTGAACGAAAAAAAAATAATGCCATGTCTCTTTCTAAAATTGTACAGCCAGTCACGGTCATTCCATTCTTCTGAGGACTAGTTGTGATTGGCCAGTTTTATAACTACAGGTTTTATTAAACCCGATTATGGTGCCGTGTAATAGCGCTCATTTACGGCGTGCGTGTGCCTCGAGAAAGTGCGCGTTTGTACGATTGCTCATGTTCTCGCACAATGATTATCGCATTACACCGGCGAGGCCTCGACATTTATTTATATCGTCGCTTCATCTCCCCTTATTCGCCGTGGCTGCGGCACAAAGCATCGAAATTTTGATCCTGACGTAACCGGAAGGAACGATGAAGGAAATAGGAGGACGGAAGAGAGCGAGGGAGGATTGATATAGAGAACAGGCAAAATAGATTCATTAGCACGACGCTACTGCAGCTGCGGCCGAAGCAAAACCTTCGATCCTGTATTCTCAGCTTGGTGGTTTCCAACGAGTAATTATTGCCTGAAACCAATGTTGCCCGAAATCCCCCCCCCTCTCTCTCTCTCTCTCTCTCTCTCTCTCTCTCTCTTTCCCGCCCTCTGAAGGGGCGATGAAGATCCGCCGCTGAAAAGCCGCCGGGGAATAAAGCGGCAACAAAGAACGTCAATTTTCCACCGTTCCACGGCGAGCGATGAGCCGATTAACCCTTCGTTGCGATTGCAAATTCAGGCCGGTCCGATAAATGATATTCCGAGAGGATATTATCGCTAATTAAAAGTACATTGACTCGGATACGTCGTGGAAAAATTGGGACAGTGTATATATTATTTTTAAATAAACATCTCCACGTTGCTCTCTTGTTTGCCAGGGTTGGGAAGTAACTCGTTACTTGTTACAAAGCTATCAGTTACTTTCTTTCGGTAACTCTAATTTAACTTTTGTTACCTTCTCTCCGTCTGTAATTTAACTCAGTTACGTTAATACTTATTTTACATATACATATTCTAAACCTCCATAGATTGCATTAGGCCTTGCATTTGCGCATAAACGCCTTTATCGACGCTTCACAATTCAAATGCAGACTTGACATTTTTATTTTCATCGCAAGAAAGTAACTGCCAAGTAACAATTCGTTACTTTTTGAATAACTGTAACGCGTTACCTTTCAGAATTGGTAACTTGTAACTGCAACTGGTTACATTTTTAGCGAAAAAAAACCCGTGTAACTGTAACGAGATACTTTTACAAAGTAACTTCCCAACCCTGCCTATTTGGGGGCTCTTGCCAAGACTGTTGCACGTCTCGTTTCCTCGTGTCACATCCCCTCGCATTTATCACGCTCGCGAGTAAACGAATTCAAGAGTAATTCGACACCGCGACGCGGAGTCGCGCAGCGCGCGTAACTAATTATGCTACGCGAGCGAACGCGTCTAAGAGTTAAACAACAGGCCGGCGGGACAGGCCGGGGACAGAGGGTCGAGAGGAAGGCCACCTCCCTCTCCCCCCCCGTGCGCGCGAGGGCCCACGGTGCTTTGGTCGACGGTCAACCTATAGGCGTGCCGTAGCGTGTGCCGGGAACGATTCGCGCGCGTTGCGGCTAGCTGATTAATTAGAACCTCTACCTCCACACACCCGCTCCTCGCTCCCCCATCGTCAAGGGAACTCGATGTAATTACGGGCATCAGGCGCGCGCGGCGTAGCTCCGCGGTCGCGGGGGGGGTGCGGGGCGGCCGGCGGGGGGGGGGGGATGGGATAGGAGGAGAGATGCAAAATGACTGCGCGGGTTGGCCGCCGCCGCGGGGGTGGCACCGAAAAGCACAGTGGTTCACGTTAGCGCAGTTACCGGTGCGGCACGGACGGACGGACGGACGGGGTGGTTGGGATGGACGGTTAGGATGGCTAGGTCGGGAAAATCCAGCGGCGGCGAAGCCGGAGAAGGCGGTGGAGTTCGACAAACTGGATTCATTACGCCACGGAAGGAGGTGTAGCGGCGGCGGGAGGGGCGGAAAGTAGCGCTGGAAGCCGCTGAAGGGACGCGCGGGAGGGTCGAGGGGGTGGCGGTGGCGCGCGTCACAGCGTACCGCCACCAGCCGCGGACGTAAAGGGGTGAACTCTTCCGCGCCGATTTTCGGACCGCTATCGAGCCTCTTCGTCGATCCTTTCCTTGATCCCCGCGCATTTTTGTTCTTATTGCCGTCGATTTTGCATTGTAAATACACGAGAGGACTGCGCGATAAATTGCCGTAACAATAACGTAATTGAAAAAGTGAACCCTGGCTGAGGTAAATTTTTCGCAGTAAATTTAAAAATTAAACAACGATGAATGAATATTTCTCGGTCCTTTTTCAGATATAAATCAAATTGAAATTTAAACGCCAATTGTTAGGACCTAGGCAAGGTGGTGGCTATTATATTGCTAAGTGAATAGCCACCAACTTGCCTAGGTCCTAACAATTGGCGTTTAAATTTCAATTTGATTTAAAAATTAAAATCACTTAGACACCAACATCCTGTCTTAGCTCTTACGCCCTTTATTTCTTCGAATCTGTGATTTCACATCAAAGCCTTATGAATTATAAAATTATTAGCATTATGAGTTAAAAAAATTCTTTTACAAACAACTAGAGAATCAAAATTTTTATCGTTGCTGCAGCAAATGAGCGACGAATCTTACAAGTATATATCGCATAGAAAATAAGAGTCAATAAAAAAACAGTTAAAAGTATCTTATCGCGAAAAGCGCAGAGACTGATTGAAACTTTATCCAATCTCCTGGTATAACGTGATCCACATTTCGCGATTACGTCGGACACGCGTGGAAAAAGAATTCTAAAGTAACGTATAAATATCTAAATAGAGCCCTTTTTGCCCAAGGAAGATTGGGGTAAATTTAATTCGCGCGCAACGAGTTTGCGTAATATTCCCACGGATATTGCGCGAGAGGAGAAAATCCTCGGTTAGCATAATATAAATTCCCTCCCCGAGGAATTTCTTAACCGCGACCACATTCCGAGTCTTCTCCCGAGTCCACCTCTCAGGAAGATTTCCGGTTAATTTGTTACTCATTGGACTGGCCGGCACTCGCAGCCCACCTATTTAATATGTCGATCTCCCTCCCCATCGTCCCCTCGATCGATCTTCGCCTCCTTCCGTCCCCCGACCCTCCCTCCCGCCCCTTTCCTCCTCAAGCTCAACCCTTTCGCTTCCGCGTCTCTTTCCTTCCTCGGTATTTATTACGATTTCGCCTGTTCCCCGGTTTCCTATGAAAACCGCCTTTAAAAATCGCCCTTGTTCTTAGCTCTTTATGTATTTCTATATGTACTTTTGTACCTTTGCTACTGTCCAAGGTAAAGATTTGTAAGGCAATTTATACAAATTATAGTATATTTAGATATGAGGAATATTATTATTGAGATTAGTTGAATCTTCAAGAAAATCATTAACTTAACTGTTATTGACTGAAGACATTAGCTCGGAAGTTGGAAACTCTATCAGCTTCCTGCGACATAAATGACTCGATTTTTTTCTTCGGATTCTAAGACTTTATATCAATACTCACGAACTATATGCTTGAAATCACCCAGATAGCACACACAGTTCTATGAATATTCCTCTGGCGTGCAAATATTCTTAATTTCAGAATATTGCAATCGAATATTCTATAAATATATATAGATTATTACAATTAGAAAACATATATTCATAACAAAGAAGAACGTTTTTAGAATATTCGTCGAGAATGTCTTTGAAATATTCCAAATATTCTCGCAGAATATTCTTAAAATGTTCACAGGAGTGTCTTGCGCTATCTGGGCATTAAATCGATGTTTCCAAAACGCGCCTGTTTTTAGTAAAATCGTTTAAAATCGTACACAATTTTCAACAATCTCAGAACACGATTGCCTTAAATAACAGGAATAAGATAAGGAGGAATTATTTGATTTAAAAAAAATTGGATAAAAAATTTTCAAGGAACCAAAAGATCAGAAAGCCCGAAAAAGCTACAAAGTCTCATTAAAAACAGCTCCCCTCCTAAAAATTCGTAAGCTCCTCTCAGTCTTGAAAATTTCTTATTTCCGATTTCTCCCCTAACTCTCAGGTAGTCCCTCCTTATTCTAAATAAATCCTAATAATCCGAAGACTCGGTCGTTCGAGATCTAACAAGTAGTGAGATTTAATGAGGCCCAGAAAATGAAATTGAATTGTTGGCAGCGAGAGCCAGTAAACAATTCCTTCGGAGCGCGACGAAGTACGGGGGAATCGCGGTGACGATTCGCGATCCCCGTCGAGATCGCGTACAATACCCGGGGCCTCTTCCCGCCCGGGTTTACGCCCGATGACGATGGCCGTCAGCACAGATCCGCTTTAAGTGATTACTGCATTTCCATACGCGGGCAGAACGCCGAAGAACGGAAACAATGTATCCCCGGAACAAGCGGCTTGGATATCGCGCATTGTGCTCCGGATATCGCGGCGATTCGCTAAACAAAACGGCCACTGGTTCGCCACTCCTCCACCCTCCCCAGCCCGCCGGCGTCTTCCCCATCCGACGAGACACGCCAGCCCTCCCGGATCCGTTTCTTCCGCCAACCGCGAGGAACGAATGGCATTCGTTAATGCGCGGAAATAACAACGAGACGCGATGCGATGTGATGCGCTTGCACGACGGCGGATCATAATAAATCTCGCTATTATACGTATTGGGATCGCACTACAATTCAACATCACTCGATTCATACCGCAATTGCGATTTCCATCACGACCGACTAGCATCAAATATTTTTTCGCCTATTTTCTCTCTCTCTCTTTTTTCTTCAAATTATTTTCCTTTGTGTACTTTCACATATCAATTTTTATCCCCGGCAAAAATTTAAATTCTCATATGAAAACACGTATAAATATATAAAATTATATATATACAATATATATATATATATATATATATATATATATATATATATATGTATATGAGGTATACCCTTTCTCTTGTGTAATCTCTGTTCGCATATACAAATTCACAGTAATAGCACGATAACGAAAAAAAGCAGAAAGGATTCTAGCAGAATCCAAATAATCTAACACCATAGAAGTATACTCGCTATCACCGAATAACATTAAACATGTCGATGTTTCCGCAGGATGATTCACGAATTGTAGTAAACGAGCTCATTTACTACAATTCGTGAATCATCCTGCGGAAACATCGACATGTCTCATGTTATTCGGTGATAGCGAGTATACTTCTATGGTGTTAGATTATATGGATTCTGCTAGAATCCTTTCTGCTTTTTTTCGTTATCGTGCTATTACTGTGAATCGAGAACGACATGATTGTGAACGTGTGGATTTAGTAGATGTAT